CTCACCATGAGGCCCCCACACCCTCACCATGAGCCCCCCACACCTCACCATGAGCCCCCCACACCTCACCATGAGCCCCCACACCTCACCATGAGGCCTCCACACCTCACCATGAGCCCCCCACACCTCACCATGAGCCCCCCACACCTCACCATGAGCCCCCCACACCTCACCATGAGGCCCCCCACACACCTCACCATGATGCCCCCCACACCTCACCATGAGCCCCCCCACACCTCACAACAAGGGCGCCTCACCTCACAATGAGCCCCCCCCACACCTCACCATGAGCCCCCCACACCTCACCATGAGGCCCACACACCTCACCATGAGCCCCCCCCACACCTCACAACAAGGGCGCCTCACCTCACAATGAGCCCCCCCCCACACCTTGTTACGTACTCCTAGCAGAATACGTATATAAATTTAAAATAAATATTATTTTATCATTGCATGTATATGGTGTACACATTGTGTTTTGGGTAAATTGTCGTGTGTGTGTGGCAGCGTCAGTGGAGACAAGAGCGGGGTTGCGTTGCACACGTCTATTACCTGATTGATACGGAAAGCTGGACCTGTTCAGTTTTGAAGTTCCAGATGTCACTTTATTTTAGTTAGAAAATGTTTTATATACTGTAATTAAACAGGTGGCATTGTACTTATATATTTTGTAAGTAACTATTATATGTAACTTGCAGTCTTATGTGTTTTTGAGAACAAGTGGTTGTTCATTTAGTTTTATATATATTAAAAAGTCCTTAGTTTCCCCATCCCTCATCCTGGGATGAGGCAGACGGGAGGTGAGAATGTGGGTGGCGATAGAGCGAGAGTTCAGTAGCTGATACTGGACCAGGAGAGTAACATGTGGGAGATAAGTCTATTACATTCATTTTGTGCCATAGTTACTATTATATATTACGTGCCATGACAATACTTTTCATATATTCTATAAGTAACTTTACCATCTGTGTTTTTATATTATAACTGTTTTGAATATATATATATATAATATTGTGTATCTATTCTTCAGTCCTAAACGAAGATTGTTATTTATGTGCTCATTACTTATCAAGGGGTTATACTGGTGACGCGCTTTAGAGAGCAGCAGTGGTATCCCTAGACGTAATTAAAGTTTGGCTGCTGTAGGGTCACGAGTCGTAACGAACGATAGGTAACACACCTCACCATGAGGACCCCACGCCTCACCATGAGGACCCCACACCTCACCATGAGCCCCCACACCTCACCATGAGCCCCCCTCACCTCACCACAAGGGCGCCTCACCTCACCATGAGCCCCTCACACCTCGCCACAAGGGCGCCTCACCTCGCCGTTGAGGAAGCAGTAGAGGAGAGCGATAAAGACGCCCTGGAAGGAGGTGAGGAAGTGGGTGGCGTAGGACCAGAGCCCGAACTCCGCCGCCGACCTTCCCAGCGGCGCCTTGACCATGTTCAGGACGTTGGTGATCCCTAGCAGGGGCAGCAGCACGATGGCCGCCTTCACCGCCTTCCTGCACGCCACGACCATGCCACGCCCACGCCACGCCCACAACCGTCACGTGAGGCCATCCACACATGGCGCAGGGGAGAGCGTGACGTCACACGTTGCACATCGTGAGATTTGTATGAAAAGAAGAAGAGATATGATAACTGAGTTAGTGAGGAGGTGCACACATGTACCCGTGTGTACCTGTGTGTGCCTGTGTGGGGTGTGTGTACCTGTGTGTTCCTGTGTGTCCCTGTGTGGGTGTGTACCTGTGTGGGTGTGTACCTGTGTGGGTGTGTACCTGTGTGGGTGTGTACCTGTGTGGGCCTGTGTGTACCTGTGTGTACTTGTTTGGCCTGTGTGGGGTGTGTGTACATGTGTGGCCTGTGTGTACCTGTCTGGGGTGTGTGTACCTGTGTATACCTGTGTGTGTGTGTGTACCTGTCTGGGGTGTGTGTACCTGTGTATACCTGTGTGTGTGTGTGTGTACCTGTCTGGCCTGTGTGTTTGTACCATCCAGGTGTGTGTACCATCCAGGTGTGTACCTGTCTGGCCTGTGTGTGTGTACCATCCAGGTGTGTGTACCATCCAGGTGTGTACTTGTCTGGCCTGTGTGTGTGTACCATCCAGGTGTGTGTACCATCCAGGTGTGTACCTGTCTGGCCTGTGTGTGTGTTCCATCCTGGTGTGTGTACCATCCAGGTGTGTACCTGTCGTGCGCGCGCCATGCACGTGTTTGTACCATCCAGGTGTGTGTACCATCCAGGTGTGTGTACCATCCTGGTGTGTGTACCATCCACGTGTGTGTACCATCCAGTGTGTGTACCATCCAGGTGTGTGTACCATCCTGGTGTGTGTACCATCCAGGTGTGTGTACCATCCAGGTGTGTGTACCATCCAGGTGTGTGTACCTTCCTGGTGTGTGTACCTTCCAAGTGTGTGTACCATCCAGGTGTGTGTACCATCCAGGTGTGTGTACCATCCTGGTGTGTACCATCCTGGTGTGTGTACCATCCAGGTGTGTGTACCATCCAGGTGTGTGTACCAGGCAGGTGTGTACTCACCTCACTTGCTGAGCCTCGCTGGAGTTGCTCTGCCTCAACTTCGTCACTAGGACCCGGATGATGTTCAGCAAGAACACCATGTTCATCTGAAGAACAAACCCGCCACCAGAACAATCAGTTCTCACAAGGAAAAGTTATTCACAGTAACTTACGTCTAAACAATGAAATCACAATACTGTTATTTATCTGTTAGGAGGAAATGTTTGGAGCAGGACCTGTTCACTCTCAGTTATTACCTCTTACCTAATTACAACTTTCCTTCCATTCCTCTTCTGCCTACTCCTGCGTCAAGCTGTGTCCTCTCTCCCATGTCTGTCTCTCTTACACTCTCTCTCTCTCACTCACTCACTCTCTATCTCTCTCTCTCTCTCTCACTATCTCTCACACACCTAACTGGACAGGAGAGGGAAGACACGTGACCAGCGACATGATAAGTGACACATGACACATGACCAGTGACACATGACACGTGACACGAGGCTGTGGACAACTTACCGATATGACAGAGAACCTTGGTCCCTCCATGATCCAGTAGTAGGGCGTGAAGTTGTACCCCCACCAGCACCTGTGTTGGGGAGAGTGGTGGTGAGGGAGAGTGGTGGTGGTGGAGGTGAGGGAGAGTGGTGGTGGTGGTGGTGGTGGTGAGGGAGAGTGGTGGTGGTGGTGAGAAATTTGAGGGTGACAGTAGTAGGGTCATATATTATATACATATATTATATTATAATATATATGTTATATATATATAAAATTCAAACCTCTGAAAATTGGAGACTCCATAAACAATAAGTGAGGCCATGGCAGCATAAGTGAGCTCAGACCGTAATAAGAAATCGTTGACTTATATATGTGAGCCCTGACTATATATGCGATGACGCGTGAATGGTCCGCTAGCAATATGCCACCTAAATAAACTGTTCACTTGTGAAGGAGACCTTAGTTAGCGTGGCCTGACTGTACCACCAGACCCAACCAGACTCTACAAATGGTTGTCTGGGTCAGAGTCCTTCAGGGCTGAGCAGTTCTGGGTTGTATATTGGCTTGGGCCTTATTATATACATATATATATACATTATATATATATATGTCGTACCTAGTAGCCAGAACTCACTTCTCAGCCTACTATGCAAGGCCCGATTTGCCTAATAAGCCAAGTTTTCATGAATTAATGTTTTTGCGACTACCTAACCTAACTAACCTAACCTAACCTAACTTTTTCGGCTACCTAACCTAACCTATAAGATAGGTTAGGTTAGGGTTGGTAGGTTTGGTTAGGTTAGGTCATATATCTACGTTAATTTAAGCTCCACTAAAAAACATTGACCTCATACATAATGAAATGGGTAGCTTTAAATCATTTCATAAGGAAAAAATTAGAGAAAATATATTTATTCAGGAAAACTTGGCTTATTAGGCAAATCGGGCCTTGCATAGTAGGCTGAGAAGTGCGTTCTGGCTACTAGGTACGACATATATATATATATATATATATATATATATATATATATATATATTATTAGTATAATATTGTAGCAGTATATCCTATAGACATATATTATTAAATATGACCGAAAAAGTAAGATTAATAATTCTAACCACAAATTTTCTCAATCTTTCGTACATTTCTTTTTCTCTGCTGTGCTGGTGGTAATTCAAAAATCAATTCTCCAAAATTCATTTTTATTTCTAGTCTGACGCGAACACTTGAGCGCGTTTCGTAAAACTTATTCCATTTTCAAAGACTTTAGTTTACACATACACAACTGCTAGAACTTATACATCTCCGATTTGTTTATATCTACATTTGAGTTGAGGTGGATGGGGTGAGGTGGTATTTAATAGGGTATTAAGTTCATCACACACAAGACAGAACACGAAACAATGGGTATTGAATGGAAGTGATTGTAGAAAGCCTATTGGTCCATATTTCTTGATGCTTCTATATTGGAGCGGAGTCTTGAGGTGGGTAAGAATATAGTTGTGCATTAATTGGCTGTTGATTGCTGGTGTTGACTTCTTAATGTGTAGTGCCTCGCAAACGTCAAGCCGTCTGCTACCGCTGTATCTATCGATGATTTCTGTGTTGTTTACTAGGATTTCTCTCTGCGATGGTTTGGTTGTGGGAAGAGATTATATGTTCCTTAATGGAGCCCTGTTGCTTATGCATCGTTAAACGCCTAGAACGAGATGTTGTTGTCTTTGCCTATATACTGGGTTTTTTGGAGCTTACAGTCCCCAAGAGGGCATTTGAAGGCATAGACGACGTTGGTCTCTCTTAAAGCGTTTTGCTTTGTGTCTGGAGAGTTTCTCATGAGTAGGCTGGCCGTTTTTTTCTGGTTTTATAGTAAATCGTCAGTTGTATCCTCTGATTTTGTCTGTAGGGATAACGTTTCTATTGACAATATCTTTCAGGACCCTTTCCTCCGTTTTATGAGCTGTGGAAGAGAAGTTCCTGTAAAATAGTCTAATAGGGGGTATAGGTGTTGTGTTTAGTTGTCTCTTCAAGGTTGCATGGCGTTTCACTTTCCTTATGATGATGTCTTCGACGAAACCATTGGAGAAGCCGTTATTGACTAGGACCTGCCTTACCCTACAGAGTTCTTCATCGACCTTGCTTTCATCCTGGAGCTGTGGCTGAGAGCATGGTCGACATATGCGTTAACAACACTCCTCTTGTACCTGTCTGGGAAGTCGCTGTTGGCATTTAGACACATTCCTATGTTAGTTTCCTTAGTGTAGACTGCAGTGTGGAAACCTCTGCTCTCTTTCCCTGACTGTTACATCTAGAAAGGGGCAGCTTCCCATCCTATTTCCATCCATCTTTAAGTGAAACGCAGCACGGAACTCTGCTCAAATGCCTCTTACAGCTCCTGCATATGTCTGACATCGGGTACCTGTGTAAAAATGTCGTCAACATACCTGCAGTATATGGCCGCTTTCAAGTTCATGTCGACTAGACTTTTTGCTCGATGGTACCCATGTAGAAGTTTGCAACAGGACACCTAGGGGAGAACCCATGGCGACCCCATCTACTTGGCTTATACATGTGCCCATCCGGCCTCAAGAAGGGTGCCTCTTTAGTACAAACTTGGAGTAGTTTCCTTAGAATATATTCTGGTATGTCAAGAGGAGTACAGCTGGATCACGATACCTCTGTCGGCTATCATCCCGATTTCTCGTCCACAGGTACGTTGGTGAACAGTGATTCTACATCCAACGTGGAGGCTCTTATCCCTGTGGCCCGTTGTGCCCCGCAGTAAGTCAAAAATTAATTTGGAGACTTCAGGCTGAAGGCGGAAGGGACATAAGGAGTCAGCAGGCCGTTGAGTCGCTTCGCCAGTCTGTACGTGGGTGTGGGTATCTGGCTAATGATTGGCCGAAGTGGGTTTCCAGGCTTGTGTGTCTTGACATTTCCATACGCATATCCAGGTTTATATTCCCCAATAATCTTTGGCAGGTGGAGTCCTGATTTCTTGGCGTTCACAGTTTCGATCAGTTTGTTGACCTTTGCTTTCAATTCGGCTGTAGTGTCCTTCGTTACCCTTTGGAATTTAGTTTGGTCAGAGAGTATGAGGTTCATTTTCGCCAGATATTCGTCTTTTTTAAGAATGACGTATTTTGGCGACTTGTCACCTCTCCTGACAACTATCTCCTTGTTCTCACGAAGGCTTTTAGCTGCCGCTTTGAGCTCGGGGGACAGTATGGTGCTTCTGTAATTGCCTCGATTCTTTCGTCCTTCTGCAATAAGTTCTGCTTGTAAGGTATCTTTGGTAGTGACCTTCTTTTGTGTCTCGAGGTCGAATATGTCGTCCAACAGAATTTCCAACTCCACTTTCCGGGCCATTTCACTCGGTCTGGACATAACATGACAGTTTATGCCCAGATTTAGGAGAGTGACTTGGTCCTCAGTGAGGTTAATTCCTGCAAGGTTCAGGAAGCCATCTCTTGGTCGTGGAATTGCCATAGGTCCTCCATATAACGGGATAACTCAAATGTAGATATAAACAAATCGGAGATGTGTAAGTTCTATTCAGTTGTGTATGTGTAAACTAAAGTCTTTGAAAATGTAATAAGTTTTACGAAACGCGCTCAAGTGTCGCGTCAGACTAGAAATAAAAATGAATTTTGGAGAATTGATTTTTGAATTACCACCAACAGTGAAAAGAAATGTACGAAAGATTGAGAAAATTCGTGTTAGAATTATTATCTTACTTTTTCGGTCACATTTAATAATATATATATATATATATATATATACATATATATATATATATAAGGAGAGGGTTACCTGGAGCTGCCATAGAACATGGCAGTTGCCGTGGCCCAGGCAGCCGTCATTAGCACCGGGACGCCCCAGCCGACGGCCTGGTAGGCACTGTAGTAGAAACTGTGATGGAACACGGTCACTGTTTGGGGAGAGAGAGGGGGCCTGGGGTTAGTGTGGGGGGGGGGGAGGACCTGGGGTTAGTGTGGGGGACCTGGGGTTAGTGTGGGGGGGACCTGGGGTTAGTGTGGGGGGGACCTGGGGTTAGTGTGGGGGGAGGGGTCCTGGGGTTAGTGTGGGGGGGGGGGAGGACCTGGGGTTAGTGTGGGGGGGGGGGACCTGGGGTTAGTGTGGGGGACCTGGGGTTAGTGTGGGGGGGACCTGGGGTTAGTGTGGGGGGGACCTGGGGTTAGTGTGGGGGGGGGGACCTGGGGTTAGTGTGGAGGGGGGACCTGGGGTTAGTGTGGGGGGGACCTGGGGTTAGTGTGGGGGGGGGGACCTGGGGTTAGTGTGGGGGGGG